ATAGCAGTGTATTCTTCTATCACTGTTCATTTTCCATAGCGAGTATATGTTTTCATATTTATAGCCTAGAGATCAGAGCAGCTACATGCTGACTTTTCAGAGCAATTACCGTAATACTACTGTCTCCACACAAATTGGGATGTCTTCTCTAAGTGTGCACTGTGCCTATAAGAGATAAAGGTGGGAAAGTAGGATAAAGCTTGGAAAAAAATCCGTTCCCAGAAGTCAGTAGTTTCCCATGTCCTGGGTGGCTAATAGATATGCCCTCTACTAAGGAAAAAGGGGGAAATTGTGGTGGTATTATTATTATGCATTTTGAGAATAATAAAAGAAAATGCAAACATTACAAATATTTGGTAAAAGTTTTTGTTGCTTTCTTTTCTTTTTTTTTTTTTTTTAATACTGGAAACATGATAAAAAATATAGAACTGTTAGCTGAAAGAGAAAGGAGATGTTGTTTACAAAAACATGCTTTTTCCAGCAGTCTGTCAGACATTTAAATAAAATAGAAAAGACAACAGGGGTTAACAGATAAAATCATTTCCCTTCTTAATTGTTCATTTATTTTTTTTACTTCAGTACTTCCACAAATAAATGTTTCATCCCCATAAACTCAGTTAGACAAATGTGATTTTTCCAGTGAGAAAGTAAGGGGAGGAGAAAACCCCTCTTCTGCAAAGGCAACTGGGAAATGGTCCTTATGTATGTCAAGAAAAAAAGATAAAAGAATCCTTACCATTAAAAAATGTTGTAGTTAATCCTTAAATTCTTCCCTAAAGCATCATTTAAACTGGATTCTGAAAAACTTTCCCATAGCTTTGAGAATCTTAGGAACTTTCTCAGCAATTAAAATGTTTCCCTTCCATTCACTTGAATGGTACTAATAGGAAACACAGATACTGTAAAGAAGAAAATATGTAAGTTTTGCCCATTCCTACTGATTATGCTACTTAAATGTTATAATTTATTCTTGAGCTTTTGTTATGCCTCCTCCAGACGTTTTAGTGTTAGACACATCAGAATCCCTGGACTTTGAACTCAAGAAAACGTTAAAGACAGTGAAGGGGTTAGAGAGAACAGACACCCAAGGGTGAGAACTTTCTGCATTTCAATGAATGCAAGTGGGAAATCAGAATTTCTGAAGAAGACAGCAACAGTGTACCTCTTTCAGCAGTTTCTCCAGCCATGAATTCATCTGTGGCATTGCCTTTATAATTACAATGTCACAGATAAATGTGGAGTGTTTGAAGGATGGAGATTAATTGTAGGGAATGTAGGAGGAAAGACAGAATGTGGGGAAGTGCTTCTGTTTGTTTATTCCTTGGAAGAAGAAATGAAGAATGCTATTTGTCTTAAGCATATATCAGACCCCCTAGCTGTTGCACTGTCATTGCCTGTAAAAATGTGTGCGATTCCACAGCCCTGTTAAAATACAAAAAGGAATGTCCTTGCATATGTGCCCTGGGAAATTATTAAGATTTCCTGTTTCCTCAGCGATGGGAATAAAGTTTATTGACTCTACCTGAGACTAATGCAGTCCCAAATTGAGGTAGTATTTTTGCAGTGATGACAAACTGCTTTTGTGAGCTTGTTTATAGAGGGCTTTTTTACTTAGCAAGAGTCTTTCCCATTGAATATTCATACCAATGATTATAAAACAAAAGTCAGTTAGGGTTGCACTTTCCATAACAAAACACTTCAGCTGTACAGATGAAAGCCTTCAGACAGAAGAACTAAATGCTTAGCAGTCTCTAAACCAGTGATCCTAGCATTTCAGAAAGGGTGGTTAATCACACCTGAAGCCATACTAATGGGTGAAACATATGCTTTGAAGAGTTCTTAGGACAGTTATTGGTGAGTCTGCTGCCTGGGTTTTTAGAGATGCTTGCTCCCTGCAAAGCAGCTGATGAGAATCACGATTATGTAGCATTAGACTGGGCAACTTGTTTATCATTTTAATAATTCTGTTTTTTCTGTTTCTACTCTTGCCCATAGGATCAGGCAGCTAAAGATAAAGCCATGCAGAGTATGGCTACAATGTCATCTGCTCAGATTATCTCTGCAACTGCCTTCCATAGTAAAATGGCCTTGCCTGGTCTCCCACGACCAGCCTACCCTGCTGTTTCTGGGGTGAGTGAATCCACGTCTTGGAGGAGTTGGGCTGAAGACACTTGAGCATTTGAGGGGGTGTTTGGACCTGCTCAGGAAAATCTTGAAAACATCAGAAAGAATGGGTCAAAAGGCATTGTCTTTGTAGAACACATCTGTCATATGGCTTCAACAGTTTGGATCTGTTTCTTTGCTCACAGTGATGTATAACAATAGTTTCATTATACACTTTTTTAAAAATGACACAAGTGAGAGAACAATCAGATCCTTTGGGTTCTCAGATGCCTGAAATATTTTTAGGTGTCTGTATCACTTTCTTAGTCTAGGATCTTGTTCGATTAAAACCATTTGGGCCATCCTGACCCTTTCCCAAGCTTATAATTTCCAAGCTTGTCCTAAGTGCTTAGATCACAAATTGATGGCCCTTATATAAAATCCTTAATAGAGGCCTGTCAGCATCCCCTAACTTTTGAGTTAGGCCTAGTGAGCTTCTGCTGAACATGAATTCCTGCCAAAACACTCCGGTGGAGCTCTCCTGGGGAAAATGGTGCCTCCAAGAGAGTGAGGATCATTAAAACTTTGGAGATGGAGGCACAAGGTACATAAATAGTATTTAACATTAAAAACTACTATTGGGTCAGTTACGTGCATGTCACTAGTAGTAGTGTGGTTTTGACATGTTTAGGAGGTTACTTGATAGAACCCCTTGGGAGTCAGTTTTGAAAGGTACAGGAATCCAACAACACTTTTTAAGGAGGAAATCTTAAAGGCATAGGAACAGGCCATCCCCATGTGCTGGAAGATAACCCAGCAGCAACGAAGACCAGCCTGGCTGAATAGGGAGATCTGGCTTAAAATCAGGCAAAAAAGGAGAGTTTATGGCCTCTGGAAGAAGGGACAGACCACTCATAATGAGTACAAGAATGTTGTTCGATTATGCAGGGAGACAATTAGAAGGTCCAAAGCCCAACTAGAAGTTAATCTGGCTTTGGAGGTAATGGGTAACAAGAAAAGTTTCTATAAATACATTAACAACAAAAAAAAGACCAGGGAGAGCCTCCATCCCTTACTAGATCCAGGAGGAAATATGGTAATAGAAGACAAGGATAAGGCTGAGGTGCTTAATGCCATCTTTGCCTCAGTCTTTTGTAATAGGAACACTTGTAACAGGGAAAGTCAGCCTCCCCAAGCCAAGAGACAGGGGCCAGGAACAAAATGTGTCCCCCCACAATCCAGGAGGAGATGGTCAGTGACCTGCTGCTCCACATCGATGTGCACAAATCTATGGAGCCGGACGGGGTACACCCTAGAGTGCTGAGAGAACTGGCAGGGGTGCTCACCAAGACACTATCCATCATTTATCAGCAGCCCTGGCTGACTGGGAAGGTCCCAGCAGATTGAAAGTCAGCCAGTATAACACCCATATATAAGAAGGGATGGAAGGATGATCCGGGGAATTACAGGCCTGTCAGTTTGACTTCAGGGCCAGCGAAGCTGGTGGAGGAGATCATCCTGAGTTCCATTATGCAGCACAT